TTGGAGACTCTCTGTGTGCACCTGGGCTTGCACTGTGATAATGATGATGAAGTGTTTTTTGCATTGGGAAAAGGAAATAATAATAACAGATGAATATTTATATTTATAATTGCGTATATACGCATATATAGACTTATACCCATAGTTGGTGTATATTTCTGTGTTTACTGGGTAAATTGGGCTAATTGTTGAAATATCTGTTTTGTTTGCTTGATGATTTTGCTGGGTCTCTGAGCCTTTTTAAAGATATTTGTGAGTGTGGGCTTTTGTTTTGTTTTTATTCTTAATGAGGTTATTGCGCTGTATTGCATTCTTTAACTGGTAGGTTTTACTTTCACGATGTGAGTTTCCATAGTGGTAATCGATTTGTGTGTCCTAACATCTTTCATACTTCAGTTATTTTCTTTTTTGTCTTTTTGATTGTCTTTCTTTCTAGATCAGTGTCTTTACGTGAAACAAACTATTATCTCTCTCATGATGATGATGATGCGCCGTGTGATGTGTGTGTTGGCCGTTGTGCTGTGCTGCACCTGCGGGTATACCATGACGGCTGCTGCTGCTGTTGATAATGACAGTCCCAGTGGCCGTGGTGTATCCCGTGGGGCTGTGGAGGTGTCGTGCGGGGCCGGCGGTGCGCTGCGTGTACGCCCCGCTGCTGAGAGCGAGTGGCTTACATGCGGTGCGGGCAGCCGTGTGTCTGCATGTGGGAAGTACGCAGACCTCTGCAGCCAACAGCGTACGATAGGAGGAGGAACAAGAGGAACAACAACCACTGCTGCTAATACTATTGCTGGACAGCCAAAGGCGGTGATGGCGATATTTGATGGTGATGATTACAGAATTGCTGAGCGACTACTACATAACTTATCGTTGGAGGCCACTGCGGATGACGTTAAAAATGCCAAAAAAGAAGCAGATGCAAGGCAGGTTGAGCTGAAGAAGAATTCCACAAAACCTCCAGCTGCCAAAGGAGAAGGAACACTTCCGCCGTCAGGTGCCCATCCAGCTGCACCGCAACTACCCGGTAAGGCGGACCAATCGCATGACGTTAATCCGCACAATGTGGATGCTGGAGCTCGTCCTGGTGCTCCTGATGTTGTTGCTGCTACACTCGGTGATATGCCACCAAGTAATCCTGACCAAATATCTGAAGAATCACCGCAAAGTGTGGATCGTGGATCTGAAAATCAAGCACAATCGACCGTACAAGTGCAGGGAGGTGGTCAGCCGCAAAAACCTAATGCTACATCGAGTAACGAGGATGCCGATAACCAACAAGGAGTGGAATTGGCCGTACAAGAGCAAGAAGGTGAACCTTCTGCGGCACCTCCGAGTGCACCTGAGAATTCTTCCAACAATTCACTCACAGAAACTTCAAACGAATCTAATGCTGCAGAGAGTGTGGTAACAAACATCACAAATAATGCGGAAAACACAACTACCACCACAACCACAACCACAACACCTCCTGTTGTACCTTCACCTAACCCAGAGATCAGCAACATTGCCACCACAGTGCAGAAGAATGCTAACGCAGACAAGAGTCTCAGTCCTCTGTGGGTGCGTGTGTCACTACTGATTGTGGTTACACTGGCCTGTATTCTTGTGTGCTGATTCTGGTGGTGGTGTGATGTGACTCAGGTCATCCTTTGTTTTCTTTTTCTTTTTTTGCACGAAATCCCTACAGTCTAACTAATCTTTCACCTGTTGGGAGTTTCTCCTTTTTTTTTGTTTCTTAATGTTAATGTGTTTTGTGTTTTTGCTCTCGGTGTTTATCCCATAATAATTATTATTGCTACTCCATTGTGTGTGTGTGTTCTTGGAGACTCTCTCTGTGTGTGCACCTGGGCTTGCACTAGGATGATGATGATGAACTGTTTTTTACAATGAGAAAAGAAATAATAATAACAGATGAATTTATATTTATAATTGCGTATATACACACATACAGACTTACAACCATAGTTGGTGTATATTTCTGTGTTTACTGGGTAAATTGAGCACATTTATTTAATTGTTTTTATTTGCTTGTGGTTTGCTGGGGCATTGGGTCTTTTTTGACCTGCACCGTTTTTGGTATTCTGATTTTTGCAGAGGGAAAAATATTAATTTTTACACATAAATTCATTCTTTGCTACATATGCTGACCAGTGAATTGAGAGCTGTATATTTCTGTGTTTCCTGCTTTTGTTGGTCGCAATTGTTAATTTATATTTTTCTTTCAGAGTTAATTGTGGTTTTCTATTTAATACTGGGAATTGTTTTTTTTTTTTTTACTTTAATTGGACACTCGAGGTTATTATTTCTTCTTTGTTTTATGTTTATCTGTTGGAGGTTGATTTGTTTTGTTTATGTTTGTGTTTGTATGTTTATTTTATTCTTGTGTTGCCTTTCTCTTTTTATGCTCTTATTTTTAATGGTGTAGTCTAGTCTATTTAGGCAATGCCCACTTTGTATGACTGTGATGAAGATGCGCCAAGATCTACTACTCCTATCAGTGAACCTGTTCCATGTGTGTGTTTTTGTTGCTTCTGCAGCGTAATGTGAACCTTGTGCTGATGTTTGGTACTTCTTCTGTGAGTGTTGAGTCTCGGCCTGATTCTAGTGTTAGCTGTGTGGATGGTAGTGAACTGCAGTCTGGAATAGTTCCGTATGTTCCTTTGTGATGTGTGTAATTCCTGGTGTTGATTTCTCTTTATTGGGTGTATTTACAGTGTTCCTTTCTTGAATTACCCTCTGCTGGTTTAGTAACATCCATTTCTTTCTCAACCTTACCGCCATTCTATTGTTGAGATATATCTTTCTGTGTGCTGACAGAAGACTGCTGCCTAATCCGTTGTACTGGTGTGGCTGATGAAAAGAGTTTCTGAATCCATATTAATTGGTCCCCTTCAAGTGTGGAAAAAATAAGAGTTGACTCCAATGGATCCCGCTATTGGATTCTCCGTCACTTGAATGAGTCCTGCCAACACCCACCCCAATAGTAGTGGAAGGAAATTTCACTATTCTCTCTCTCTCTCTCTCTCTGTGCACTCATATACATTTCTCTCTATTGTACTGCTTCTAGCAGCAGCCCATACACCTCTTCATCCTCCACTACGTTTAGGCAGCAGCAGGAGTGCCCATCATTATAAACCTGTATGGGGCTGCAGAGTGTACTTGTCCATGCCAGTAGGATCTCATCACAGCGGCAGAGTGAGAGGCACACCGTACAGCTTAAGGAACACTGTCCATAACGATCAACGCAGCATCGGGAATGTTATCAGCAACACCATAAACAACAACAAATCAGCAAGCACCACCAAAAACACCAATGATCACCGTGTGGAAGAAGTGCATCATAATAGCAACAACATCCGGAACCGTTGCTACTGAGTATGAAAGAGCAGCGGTGTCGAGATGCAGTGTTGCGTGAGATTGAGCGACTCACACGCCTAAAAGCAGCTGTGCGGCACGAGATGCACGAAATGCGTCTCCAAGGCAACACACGAGAAAAGTGCCTTGAGGCAACAATTAGAAGCATTGCGAATAGAGTCTGTTAGACTAGAGCAGCAGCATCAGACATACACCGCATTGGATGAATGTGGGGAAACAACATTAGAGAAGGAGAAAGTGGTATGGTGGCGTACATTTCAGTTGTTGGAAGCGTGTCTACGAGTTGATGCTCCTTTCATTCCTGCTGATAATGTCACTCCCACCGTTACCGTGACTGACTGGCGAAGTGGGGCACACAACCTGATGCTGCAGTTGAAATGTACGGACCTGGAGAGGCAGACAGCTGCAGAGGAAGACCAATTGGAGGCCATCATGCTTGAGAAGAAGGCACTCCAATGGTATATTCATGCTTATGGGCAAGATGTCTGAGGATTTTATTTTTTTGTGTTATCGACCTTTTTGTTTTATATGTTTTCTACTGAAAGTAAATCTATTCGTTTGTTCTTCTTATTTTATCGTTGTTGCTATTTGTTATAACTCTCTTGTATTCAGGGGGGATGCCGTTATTTTCTGTTATTTCTATTTGTTCTTTGCATCTTTCTTTTTTTATTTTTCTTTGGACCACTGAATTAAGACACAATAAGAATTATTATAATGATGATGATGCGCTACGTGATCTGTATTTTGCTTCTTGCACTTTGTTGTACTTGCAGTATTGTGTTGGCTACTACTCTTCAACCTGAAGGTGGTGGTCCTCCTGCAACTGAAGTTGGTGATGAAGCTCATGTGGGAGGTGAGGCCGGTGGTGGAAGAGGAGGAAAAGGCGGCAGTAGTAAGGGTGTTACTCCTCTTGAACAGCCTAGAGGAGATAAAAGTGTCTCAGAAATGTTGCCAGAGTCTGCTGAAGAAGATCTCTCTAAAAAAAAACTGTTAGATAGTCAGGATGAATCGGAACTTACAAAAGATCCAGGTCCCGATGGTCCTCAGGGACCTTTACACAGCCAACGACCAGGAGGGAATACTCAGTCTCTTCTTCAACCTGCCAGTCCATCACAACCTGTTACAGGAGATAGAAACGACGGTGCTCTTTCTCCATCAGCAAATCAGAACGATCAAACTCAAAGTGTAGGCACGGCGGCTTCGCAGGAAAATGAACAAGTAGTTGCGAGAACGGAATCAGGAAATAATGGTGGATCCAATTCTGGCAGTGAACAAAATACTGTTGGCTCTCTCACTGCAGAAGAACCCAATGCTAACAGTGAAGAACAGAAGTCTGAAAATGCACCACCTTCCCCCAACGAGAATGGTACACAAGGTAGTAACGATGCAGGCAACAGTAATGCTGTACAGATTCGAGGAAGCACAGACACAGAATCTGAACCTGAGAATGGCAATACACCCAATACTAATGAGGAATCATCCTCAACCACCACTACCACCACCACAACAACACTTCCTCCTGAACTCACAAACAACAAGAAGGGTGATGCAGACAGCAGCAGCAGCAGTATCAGCAGTTCTGTGTGGGTGCGTGTACCACTACTGATTGTGGTTATACTGGCCTGTATTCTTGTGTGCTGATTGTAATTGTGGTGTGACTCAGTTCATGCTGTGTTTTCTTTTCTTTTTTTGCATGTATCCCTACAGTCTAACTAATCTTCCACCTGTTGGGATTATCTTTTTCTTTGTTTCTTAATGTTAATGTGTTTTGTGTGTTTTTGCTCTCTCTATGTTTATCCTATAATTATTATTATTGCTACTCCATTGTGTGTGTGTGTTATTGGAGACTTTCTCTGTGTGTGCCTGGGCTTGCACTGTGATAATGATGAACTGCTTTTTGCAGTGGGAAGAAAATGAAATAATAATAACAGATGAATTTATATTTATAATTGCGTATGTACACATATAGACTGACACCCATAGTTGGTGTGTATTTCTGTGTTTACTGGGTAAATTGGGCTAATGGTTAATATCTGTTTATTTGCTTGTTGTTTGCTGGGGAAGTTGTGTGCTTTGCACAGCTGTATTGGTGATCTGCTGTGTGCAGGGTAAGGTGAAAGAGTAACAGATACATCTATGATCATGATTGCGTATACCCTGCAAAGTGTATTCATAGAAACGTATTTGTATGTTTTCTGGTTCTGGTCATTGTGCTCTTGGAATCTTTGCTTTCCTTATTTTTATTGGGCGTTTCTGCTTAATAATGGGTAATATTTGTTATTTTCCTTTAAGTGGATTTCATCTAGGTGATCTTTCTAGATTTTTCACTGATTATGTTTTCTTTAATTCTACTGTTCTTATTTTTGGTTTGATTTTTTACGTCTCTTTTTATTTCTGTAGAAGAGTGAACTCAGAGAGTATTGTTAATTATTGTAACAATGACGGTACACCGTGTGTTGTTTTTTCTTGCTTTACTTGTGAGTGTTGAGTGTCTCTATATGGCAGCTGCAGAGGCTCTAGCTGAACTTCAGGCTGATTCCACTTGCCAAGGAGGTGAAGGTGGTAGTTGTCCTTCTGGTGCTACTGTTCTTCCCAGGGAAACTGATGGTGGTGTTGAAGCTGATCGAGAAGATACTACTGATTCACCGTGTACTACTAGCGGTACTGCACCTGACTCTGCTAACGCTGAGTGTGTGAAACCTCCTGGGGCGGAGAGTTGCCCTTCTGGTAAGTCTTCTTGTCCACCTACACCGCAGGTACCGACTCCAAGTCCAAGAGCAGAACATGAGCTGAACGCTGTAAATACTGATCATCGCCCTCAAGGTCAACTCGGTGAAAACAGTGATAGAGGTGTTGGTCCTCTTGGTCCTCCTTCGGCTCCTGCACCTCCTACTGCTCCTAAGGGTAGTGTTGATCCAACAGGTAAAAATAATGTTGGACCAGGAGTCGTTGGTGCCCCTGCTGAGCAAGTACCTCCGGAAAAACAAGGTGAAGGAGGTTCTACTGGTGGTGCTGCTGGTAGTACTAATCTCCCTGCTAGTGAACGTGAACTTGGAAGCGGTGAAGAAAGAACAACAGGTGAAAGTGCAGGTAAAGGGGAGGGTGAAGAAGCGCAACCTTCTCCTTCTCCCGACAATTCAAACCAAGAAAGTGCAGGTGATAATAATGCAAACGCTGGGAATGGCACTAAACCTGCAGAAGGTGGGTCACCAAGTAACCAAGAAGGTGATGTGGGTAATACAGATACAACCACCACCACCACTACCACAACAACACTTCCTCCTGAACTCACAAACAACAAGAAGGGTGATGCAGACAGCAGCAGCAGCAGTATCAGTAGTTCTATGTGGGTGCGTGTACCACTACTGATTGTAATTACACTGGCCTGTATTCTTGTTGTGTGCTGATTGTGATGGTGGTGGTGTGACTCAGGTCATCCTTTGTTTTCTTTTTTTCTTTTTTGCATACATCCCTACAGTCTAACTAATCTTCCACCTGTTGAAATTCTCTTTTTCTTTTTTGTTTCTTAATGTTAATGTGTGTGTGTGTTTTTGCTCTCTGTGTTTATCCTATAATAATAATTATTATTATTGCTACTACTCCATTGTGTGTGTGTGTGTTCTTGGAGACTCTCTCTCTCTGTGTGCACCTGGGCTTGCACTGTGATAATGATGATGAACTGCTTTTTACAGTGGGAAAAAAGAAATAATAATAACAGATGAATTTACATTTATAATTGCGTATATACATATATAGACTTACACCCATAGTTGGTGTATTTCTGTGTTTACTTGGTAAATTGGGCTAATATTTAATATCTGTTTATTTGCTTGTGTGGTTTCCTTGTTTTGTTCTTTGCTTGGGCTTTTGTTTGTGCTTTGCCATCCATCAAGACAATTTCTCTTTGGAACGATAATAACTAATAATATTAAATACAAAAATATATACTGAATTGCTTAAACATGGCTATGGAATATACCTTTATGTTTTTCTGTTTTTTCTTTGGCTGTAGGTCGCGCTTTTAGTTTTTTTCGTTACTTTTTGTTTTTTTGGAGGTTGTGTGTGCTGTCCACTTCGTGGATTATTTTTTTGTTTATACTGTTTTTCTTCTTTTTCATCATCTGTTGGTATCTATTGTATTGGTTTTTTTTATTTTTTCTTTCTTCAGCCAAGCGACGTAAAACAAACAAAATTACCTCTTGTTGTGATGTTTTGGTGTCGTCTGTCGTGTATTCTAACGTTGCTGCTGAGTGTTGCTACTGTATGCACATTAGCGGAGACGATTACCCCTAATTTAGAAAAGGAACCTGCTGCTTGTCCTGAAGATTCTGAACGTTCTGATGGTGAATGTCGGAATCGTTCTCCTGCTGCTGTACAACCACGCCAATCAACACAAGCACCTCCTCTTCAAACCCGTGAATCTGATCCACGTACCTCTTGCACTACTGGTTCTGGTGATACTACTGTTGATTCCTGCACTGCTATTACTACGAGTGTTGCAGGTCATCAAGCTGGTGGTAGTGGTAACCTACATACATCCCAAGGGTCTGTGTCTGGAGTTGCTGAGGGGGAGAGTGAGTCACAGCAGCATTTGGATCGTGAGAGACAGTCAACAGATGATACGGTTTCAGCACCCCCTCATACTTCAAATAGTGAAAACCAAGTGGGGAGTGAACCAGTTGTGCCAGTGCCAGGAAGTAAAGATGGAAGGCAGGAAGATGGAAGCAGTGGTAATCAGGCAGTGAGAACTGAAGACTCAACATCACGTCCAGTGATCAGTGAAGAGAATGATCACAGTAACGGAACTAAACGGCCCGAAGGAAATGGTTCGCAGTCGTCAGAGACTTCAGAAGTATCTAACGCAGATTCACCGGATCATCAGAGCACCCACAGCGGTACAACGGAACAAACCCAGTCTTCTGACAACAACCAAACTTCTCAAGGACAGAATGGTGAAGCTGACAATTCTAATGCTGTTAAAAAGCCTGCAAAGGATAATTCAACAAACGATAGTGACAGTACAACCAATAATGAAGAATCAACGTCAACCACCACCACCACCACCTCAACCACGACCACCACCACAACAACAACACTTCCTCCTGAACTCACAAACAACAAGAAGGGTGATGCAGACAGCAGCAGCAGTATCAGCAGTTCTGTGTGGGTGCGTGTACCACTACTGATTGTGGTTACAATGGCCTGTATTCTTGTGTGCTGATTGTGATGGTGGTGTGACTCAGGTTATCCTTTGTTTTCTTTCTTTTTTGCATGCATCCACACTACAGTCTAACTAATCTTCCACCCGTTGGGATTTCTCTTCTTTTTTTTTGTTTCTTAATGTTGATGTGTTTTGTGT